TGCCCATCAATAGTAGACTGGACAAAGAAAATGTAGTACATATACACCATGAAACATTATGCATCCATAAAAAGACTGAAATAATGCATTTGCAGCATCATGGATGAAGTGGAGGCCATTAGCCTAAGCAAACCAACAAAGGAACTACAAACCAAATACTGCATGTTTTCATTATAAGTGGAATCTAAACATTAAGTACACATGGACACAAAGAAGGGAACAACAGACACCGTGCCTACTTGCGGGTGGAAGGTGAGAGAGAATGAGAAACCGCCTATTGGGTACTATGCTTATTTCCTGCGTGACAAAATAATCTGTATATCAAACCTCCGTGACATACAATTTACCTGTATGACAGACTTGCACATGTACACCAAAAACTAGAAATTCAAAGAAAACTAAATGGAAGGGTTCAGGGAGCTTCTGTGTTAGCAAACACACCCTGATAGTGGCACACCCCAATTCCACAGATATGTAACCAAATGAAACTCAAGTCAGCCTGCCTGATAGAGCAAAGTTAAATGCTCACATGTGGATTGCAGCAAGAGAACGGGAGGAATTTATTACAGGAGACCAAGCAAGGAGAAGTGGGCAGCTAATGCTTAAGACCTGAACTCTCTGATGGATGGCTTACAGTTAAGTTTTTAAAGGCAGGAGGGCAAATGTTACAGGCAAAGTCATAAATCAATATATGGAGGTTATACATGAGTTTAACCTGAAAAAATGGGACATCTCAAAGTGGGGGACCCACACATCATAGGGAGATTAAAAAATTTTCCGATTTGTGATTCGTTAAGGAGGTAAAGCTTTGTCTAAAAAACTGGAGTCAGCAGAAAAGAATGTTTGCTCTCATTCGTGGGTGTGACTTCCTCCAGGACCTTCAGGAAGAAATTCAGAAGAAAAGATGGTGGTCTGAGTTCTGTCCTCAGTTCCTTCTTATCTGAGGTCTATGTGCCAGTAGATCTATCTAGTGGGATTCCAAAGGTCTGAAAAACAACTCATGGACATATTTTATGATGTTATCTCTAGTTTTGATAAAGGAACTAAGCATCCTGTGATTTTAACTTCCTCGGCAATTATACTAGACTGTTATTATCTTCTTACTTATCAAGTTGCTCATTTATTTCTCAGGACTAGCTAGGTGCCTGGAATTTCCCTGAAGGAACTTCAGCTTTCTCTGTACTTGGAGGAACTTGCAGGTCACTAAGAGGGCTCCCTGCTCCATCTCAAGCCCCATGACCCAACTTCTGGAGAGGTGGGGGCTGGAGATTGAGTCAATTACCAACAGCCACATTAATGTCTATATAATGAAACAACCACAAAACCCATAATGACAGGGTTCAGGGAGCTTCTGAGTTCACAAACACATTTACTTGCCCAGTGGGTGGCACAGGAGCTCCTGTGCTTGGGACCCTTCCGGAGCTTCCCAGATGTACCTCTTCATTTGAGTCTTCATTTGCGTTCTTTATAATAAACTATAATAGTGAGTGTAGCATTTTCCTCATTTCCATGCTTCGTTCTAGCCAGTTGTATAACCTGAAGCAGAGTGGTTGTGGGATCCTCCAAGTTTGTATCCAAATCAGGTGGAAGTAACCTGGATACCCGCTACTTAAGACTGGCATCTGAAGGGAAGGAGTCTTGTGGGATTGACTCCTGCAGCATCTGGAGTCTGATGCTCCAGACTCCAGTCAGTGTCAGGATTAACTTGAATAGTAAGACACCTAGTTGGTGTGAGAGTTGGAGAAGTGGTATTGGAAAAGCCACTGTAAATTTGATTTCAAAAAAAAAATTCACTATTTTTGTTTTGTTTCCAATTAGTATAAAACTGGTTGATGTCTAACATGGCATGGACAGAAATTATTTACATGTCTGCTTGACATAACAACTTCACAGATTCTGGACCCTAATTTATGGTAAATGGCGAATCAAACACAGAAGCACTCACCCAGAGCACTAAATAGTCTTTGAGCAGAACTGTTAAACACCGAAAGAACAGGCTATCCTACCCTTACCTTATTTTAGATAACTTTTCATACTATGTAGGCCAGAATCAACATTACTCTGCCTTACAGGGACTGTTTTTTATTTCAGGACAATTACAATAATGATATCAATGAACATGGACAGAGAATATACTGTGGGCCAGATACTCTCCCAGATGGTTTACCAATATTTTATTTATTCCTTCCAATAATGCTACAAAGTAAGCAATTTTTATTGTGTACCTTTTATATGAAAGGAACATGAAGATCATTTTGTCCAAAATCATGAAATAGGGAAGAAATAGAAGTGAGATTAAAAACAAAACACAAAAACATTTAAACTTGTAAAGTTGGGAATTAATTAGTTTACAGGATATCAAAGCATTGCGGCCCAGTTCAAAGTAGTCAAAATTCACCTTCAGATTTTTTTTTAATAAAAGACAGTATTTCTCAAAGTGTAATTCCTAAGTATTCTGAGTGATTCAAATGTTCCTCAACCTTTAAGAACCACAAATCTATGATTTGAACATTAAAGTTCTTCCACTCTGCTACCTTGTGATAGTTAAATATAAGTATGGTACTTAAAACCATTAACATTATTTACATTGCTATATTAATGTAAAAGTTCATAGAATAAACAATTAAAAGATTAAATAACATGTATGTAAATGCATGTAAAATGCTGAGCATATTCACTAGCATATAGAAATGTTCAATAAATAAAATGTATTATTATTGTCATGATACAATTTCAGAAAATTTAAAACTTTATTTCAGGTAATTAAGTCACATATATTCAGGGATTATCAATGATCAGAGTTCTAGACTTTCTTTTCACTAATTCATTGTGCTTGCTATCCTTAAGAGGGACATATCTGTTCACATTCCCATTCAGATTGTTCTTGCTTTTAGCAAAACTTGGGTGCTAAATTAATTCATTACATTCATTTACCCTTAGGAAATACTGAAATCTGTATTCCCTTGCCAAAGGTGATTTACCTTTCCAAGTGGCATAGCTCCAGGGAAGGTATTTGGTTGTTAGAAACTTTCAGTGACCACACAGGACTTTTAACTAAATAGAGCATGAGACCAGAAGTACAAAGCAGTATTCATAATACTAAGGTTAAGCAAACATTTGTACTCAACCCATCAGAAAGATTCAGTCCTATATATATGTCACACTGGCTGTGATTCTCTACTACAAACGTGAGTCAATTTGTTTGATAATTATTTTTCTTTAATTTTAGGTAGTAATTTCAAATTACTCACTTATTATGTATTCGGCATTTTATACATGAATTTTGAATTGCAAAGCAACCTTTGTAAAGTTGCAGGCACAAATCACACAAATTAAATGTTTTCCTGTCATCCACAGGGTGTTTTGAAAATGTAAGAAGCAGTCTGTCTCCACCCAGAAACACCAAGTCAAAAATTATTGAATAAAGTAGTTAATTAGGTCAAATGATTGAACTTGTATTAGAGGATTTTTTTTTCTCTGAACAGTATGGCTGTTTCAATAATTTCTCCATGTTATATCAATAGCTTGTGGACATAGAGACACTGCCTTTGTGGAGGGTAGGATGTCAGAAAGGAGAGAGAAGGAGGCTGTTGAGTGGAACTCTAATGGTACAGAACAGTGACCTGTGGTGTTTTCAAGTAAGTATGAATGTGGGGAAGGGGATGAAAATCAGTTTACCTACCAACTTCAGAAAGGGCGAGGTTTTGAAATTAATAGACACAACATTCCTCAGCTATTTCTAAATAAAATGCCTTGAAGAGCTAAGAAAGACAAATAGAAATAAATATAAATATATATGATAGAAATGTATATATAAATATGCGGAAAAATATATTAAAAATATGTATTTTATACATAAAAATATAAAAGTATTAAAATTTTTTTTTAAAGTCCAGGTACCCTATTTAGTAGCTTAGAATTAATATCAGCTCACAAATTGACTTAAAGAAGAAATATTTATCAGCATTTTTTCACATTCTTATAATTTGCTGAGTTAATATAGCCTTTAATTGAGAGATAAATATTCCACTTGAGAAATAAATATAGCTGTATATTTAAAGTGCCAAAAAATCCTTTATTCAAAAATGATAATTAGTAAAAACAATCAAGCTGGAATACCTTTGTATACCTGAAAGAAGAATTAATGCAGTAAAACTAATTTTCTATTAAATTATCTGACTGATACAATGTGCTGAAATTCTAATCTCTAACAATATTATACACCATAATTTTTCACAGCTTAGGATAATACAGGTTTATTGATTTTTGTTACATTTTAATGTTAAATAAAAGAGCAACGGTTCCAAATTAAAGAGATGTTTACTCTTTGCCTCCACCTGTAGAGAAGAGAATTCAATTCTGAAGAAGTATAACCATTTAGAATGAAAAAGTATAAGCATTTAGAAAGTCTACGAATTTTCAAATCTTAGACTTTCACTGTCATGTCAACATAGTATTCAGCTCACTAATCTAATTAATGTTTTATGCTGTGATTTTTAAGCGTCTGAATATATGAATAAATGACAACATAAAATGATCTAAACTAAAAAATTAAATTAAAAATAAAAATTTTGTTTCAGTATGCAATATGACTTAAAAAACTATTTTCAAAGTCTTTTATGTGCAAAACTCATGTAATTTTTTGTAGTAACCTTTTTAGAAAGTTCAGTGCTAGTCTGTGGCCTGTTAGGACCTGGGCTGCACAGGAGGTGAGCAGCAGGTGAGCGAGCATTACCCACTGAGTTCTGCCTCCTTCAGATCATCAGCAGCATTAGGTTCTCATAGGAGTGTGAGCCCTATTGTGAACTGCGCGTGTGAGGGATCTAGATCGTATGCTCCTTATGAGAATCTAATGCCTGATGATCTGAGCTGAAACAGTATCATCCCAAAAACATCCCCTCTCCCACAACCTCCATTGGTGGAAAAGGTTGGGGACCACTGGTTTAAAACATATAAGTAAACAAAATGAAACAAAAATGTTATATAACTTTCTCCTTATAATGTAAAATGACAGAAATGATTCTTTTTTTCCCATGATTTCATGTTTACTTTTTTTCTTACCACAAATACAAGTTACATAACTTTGCAGGTAGAAATGTTATTTCACATCCTTCCTAAAAATCACGACACATAATAGCAGTGGTACACCTACTGTAATCTGGAAAAAGCTGACTAGACAGTAGTGATTTTTTTTTTCTTGGTGCTTCTCTGCACACTTTTTTATTTTATTTTATTTTGAGTCCTGGGATACATGTGCCAAACATGCAGGTTTGTTACATAGGTATACATGGGCGATGGTGGTTTGGAGAGTAGTGATTTTTTGACATGGACTTTTTAATGCCATGTCCAGTGTTCTTTTATCCATGCATTCTGCATTAATAAAATGAGTCTGAGAGTGGTTTACAGTTATAATGGAGGCAGTGGAGGTCTGCAGTCAAGGAGTCAGTGGGCTGTGGCAATCACATGAGAAATACTTTAAACAGTATGTAAAATAAGGGGAGGACATACACTACATAGGAGGACAGTAATGCAACTGACAAGGCTTGGCACAGCTTGATTAGGTAGAATCCTTGCCTATTTTGCTGGTTTTATTGTCCTATAATCTCTGCTTATTTCCCTGAGAGAATAAGAGAATGAGAGAATATTTGATGTTGGTAAATGTTGGGAGAGAATAACAGTAACTATAATGAGTAAGTAGTACTTGGAGTAAGTATAAAACAGGAAACAACTTAAAAATGGTTTCATATCTATGAAGTGTTGTTATTAGTCACAGACAAGGTATCATCTCAAAGACGCTCGTGTTTCTGTGTGTTTGTGTCTGCTCACATCTGAATGCTCACATGGTGGATGTAGTAATTTAATGAGTCCTTGGCCCTACCTTTCTGGAGGTCCCTGAATGAGACCATCTGTTTCTGAGATGAGGTCTACAATCCTGCAAATATGCAAACCATGACATTTGTGAATTTTCTACGAATCAAAGAGGGAAATTAGCTCGTTATTCAGATGATAAAAGCCTCTTCCTTCTCTATTTTTCCATTTGCACCATCACACCCGTGGAAATTATGGAGATGAGAAATACTACCTCAGACTTTATACTCCTAGGATTCTTTGATCACACCACAGCCCACCAAGTCCTCTTCATGATGCTTCTGGCCATTGTTTTGACCTCCCTGTTTGGCAATGCCCTCATGATTCTCCTGATCCACCGGGACTGCCGGCTCCACACGCCCATGTACTTCCTCCTGAGCCAGCTCTCCCTCATGGACATGATGCTGGTTTCCACCACTGTGCCCAAAATGGCGGCTGACTACCTGACCGGAAATAAGGCCATCTCCCCTGCCGGCTGCGGTGCGCAGATCTTCTTCCTCCCCACGCTGGGGGGTGGAGAGTGCTTCCCCTTAGCAGCCATGGCCTATGACCGCTGCGCGGCTGTCTGCCACCCACTCCGATATCCCATGCTCATGAGCTGGCAGCTGTGCCTGAGGATGACCATGTCGTGTTGGCTCCTGGGTGCAGCTGACGGGCTCCTGCAGGCTGCTGCTTCCCTGAGCTTCCCGTATTGCGGGGCGCACGAGCTCGATCATTTCTTCTGCGAGGCCCCCGTGCTGGTGCGTTTGGCTTGTGCTGACACTTCAGTCTTCGAAAACGCCATGTACATCTGCTGTGTGTTAATGCTCCTGGTGCCCTTGTCCCTCATCCTGTCCTCCTATGGTCTCATCCTCGCCGCTGTTCTCCACATGCGCTCTCCAGAAGCCCGCAAGAAGGCCTTTGCCACCTGCTCTTCACATGTGGCTGTGGTGGGACTCTTTTATGGAGCTGCCATTTTTACCTACATGAGACCCAAATCTCACAGGTCCACTAACCACGATAAGGTTGTGTCAGCCTTCTACACTGTGTTCACCCCTTTGCTAAACCCCCTCATCTACAGTGTGAGGAACAGTGAGGTCAAGGGAGCCCTGAAACGGTGGCTGGGGACGTGTGTAAACATAAAACACCAGCAAAATGAGGCCCACAGATCAAGATGATCTAGTGTCAAATGAGTCTTAAGTTCCTGAATTTATTAACATTTTAACACATTGTAATCTCTCCCTTCAATAATTCATGAAGAGAAAATTAAGTTTATGCATTTATATAATAAGATATTTTGAAGGAAGTGAGACAATTGTATTGAGAGAAACCATTTTTGAGCATTTATGTACTTTTCTTCAAGTGAAGTAAAATCTATATATTACTTTGTATCCTAAAACAACCCCATGATATAAGTACTGTTGACAATATCTCCTACTTTCTAAAAAAAAAAATTAACACATGGAAATATTGTTCCCAATTTCACACAGCAAGGAAATATTAAAAAGTGACCCCAGAGCTTGTATTGTAACTTGGAATAGTTTATTTCTGTTCAATAATGTATTTTGAGTGTTATTTTCGATGTGTATGCTCTACGATAAGTAAGTGCAGCACACCAACGTGGCGCAAGTATACATATGTAACAAACCTGCATGTTATGTACATGTACCCTAGAACTTAAAGTATAATAATAAAATTAAAAAAAAAAACTAAATAAGAGGAATCTACCAAAGACAAATAACATTATTTTAAAATTATATTTTAAAATATAGTTGCATGAAAAAGGGGAAATCCACAACTAAAATGTAACCGCTATATTGTCACATTTCTTTTGTATTTATTCCACAGTCCATTTTTATTTGGTGTTTAAAGGCAAACCTTTTCAAATTTATGTAATTTTTCATTTAAGCAATATTTATCTTTTCCCAGAGTCTCACTGTAATTGCGTTATAAAATTGCTTTAAATTACAACTAAGTTCTCTTTTCTTCACATGTTTTAAGGTTACCTTGACTTATGGATGTAGGTCCATGGATATGAACTCTGAATTGCATAATCAGGCTGAATCTTAACAGTTACTAACAGTGAGTTATCAAAGCTGAGTAACACTCAACAACATTATACATTATTGGGTCACCTTACTTCTGTCAAGGCATAGGTGAGTAGAGATATTTCTGATGAAAAACTTGAGACACCTTCTAAAGGTCTGGGGTTTACAAAACAAAAAAAGATTATTTTATTTATAAAGACACAAGCTAGATAATGATGGCAGAAAGCTGTGGTTATCAAAGCCAAATTGTAATCAGAGGCTGGATATCACATTGTCTTAGAGAGTTTTATGATAAAGACTATATTTCCTTTATGTAAAACACACTTAAGAAATAATATAAGTTTTAAGCACACAATGGGAAATAACTAAGAGCTTCCAGGGACAATGTATCTTCAACATAAGTGTCTGAAAGTTAATCCGCCATTTCAGACCATCCTGAATTTTAAAAGGGGCTTGTTTTAGAACAAGTGAGAGGAGTTTCCTTCTTCATCTAGAGCTTCAGTTTCCAAAGCAGTAATGTATTTAAGATAATACCTTCACCAGTGCATGTAAATCCTGAGCCCATGTCTCAAGAGAAGGTTGTTCAGTAAACTCTTGTCTCCTTGGAAGACTTGAGGATGACAGGAGAGAGCATCACCTGTTTAAGACTAAGAGTTTGCTACTCTTGTTAATTATCTCCTTACCCAGTGTTATGGTGAGAAAGGAACAGAACTGCATAATTTCTGTCCTTTATACCATCTAAAAACTCTTCTCTTAGAATGGATGAAAATTACACAAGCACATGTAGTCGTGGAAATTTCATTACTCATACCAGCTTCATTCACCATCAGAGAAATTATTTTAAAACATGTTGAGCTAAAAAATGGTAAACTAGTCCTATAAAATTTTGGAAGAATAAAAAATTCTAACCAGAAAATTAAGCCTAATATACAGGAGAAAGCTAAAGCAATGACAACAACAACAAAAACAAAGAATGAACATTATCTCCAAGCAAATGTAAGACATGAATAAAAATGCACAAAACACCTATAAAAATAGAAATATGTTTCAAAGAAGTGGTATTTCAGACTTATTATCTGACCACAGTGAAATTAAATATAAAATAACAATTTTAAATAATTTCAGAAATTATATGTTCATTTCTTATTGCATTTTAAATTTGCAGATGTTTCTACTTTTCATTTCTTAATAAAGATTTCCATAGAAAATCTTCAAAATCTTCAAAATCTTCAAAATGGTGGGTTAACTTTCAGACACTTATATTGAAGATACATTGTCTCTGGAAGCTCTTAGTGATTTCCCATTGTGTGTTTTAAAATGAGCTGATATGGTTCTCATGAATCTCTAAAGTTAAAGAAGGAGTACTTGATAGAGACAGATTATACAAGAGCATGAATGGTAGAAACAAAATTTTGAATGAGGAGTTACTTAAAATATACGAGGCTCTAGCACCCAGAGACAAAGAAGCAAGATGAGGCATTGAACTGATCTTGGATATTACCTGCTATCTTCAATCCTTCTGGCTGTTTCTTTTACACTGCCTATATATTCTCTTTAATGTGTAATTTTTAAGTCATTAAGAAACATAATGTTGCAGCTCCAACTGGAATTTATTCATCTTCTGCTGTGCAGAAGCTCTTTAGTTTAATTAGATCCCATTTGTCAATTCTGGTTTTGTTGCCATTGCTTTTGGTGATTTAGTCATGACGTCTTTGCTCATGTCTGTGTCCTGAATGGTATTGCCTAGGTTTTCTTCTAGGGTTTTTATGGTTTTATGTTTTATGCTTAAGTCCTTAATCCATCTTGAGTAAAGTTTTGTATAAAGTGTAAGGAAGAGGTCCAGTTTCAGTTTTCTCTATATGGCCAGCCAGATTTCCTAGCACCATTTATTAAATAGGGAATCCTTTCCCTATTGCTTGTTTTTGTCAGGTTTGTCAAAGAACAGATGGTTGTAGATGTGTGGCATTAATTCTGAGGCCTCTCTTCTGTTTATTGCTCTATATATCTGTTTTGGTACCAGTACCACGCTGTTTTGTTTACTGTAGCCTTGTAGTATAGTTTGAAGTCAGGTGGCGTGATGCCTCCAGCTTTGTCCTTTTTGCTTAGGATTGTCTTGGCTAAATGGGCTCTTTTTTGGTTTCATATGAAATTTAAAGTAGTTTTCTCTAATTCTGAGAAGAAAGTCAATGGCAGCTTGATGGGGATAGCAATTAATGTATAAATTACTTTGAGCAGTGTGGCCATTTTCATGGTTTTGATTCTTCCTATCCATGAGCATGGAATATTTTTTCATTTGTTTGTGTCCTCTCTTATTTCCTTGAGCAGTGATTTGTAGTTCTCCTTGAAGAGGTCCTTCATATCCTTTGTAAGTTGTATTCCTAGGTGTTTTATTCTCTTTGCAGCAATTCTGAATGGGCGATAACTCATGGTCTGGCTCTCTGTCTATCATTGGTGTGTAGGAATCCTTGTGATTTTTACATATTGATTTTGTATCCTGAGACTTTGGTGAAGTTGCCTGTCAGCTTAAAGAGATTTTGGGCTGAGACGATGGGGTTTTCTAAGTATGCAATCATGTAATCTGCAAACGGAGACAATTTGACTTCCTCTCTTCCTATTGGAATCATCAGAGTGAACAGGCTACTTACAGACTGGGAGAAAATTTTTGCAATTTATCCATCTGACAAAGAGCTAATAGCAAGAATCTACTAGGAAGTTAAACATACTTACAAGAAAAAAAAAATCCCATCAAAAAGTGGGCAAAGTATATGAACAGACACTTCTCAAACAAAAACATTTATGTGGCCAAGAAACATACGAAAAAAGCTCATCATCACTGGTCCTTATAGAAATGCAAATTGAAACCACAATAACATACCATGTCATGCCAGTTAGAATGGCCATCACTAAAAAGTCAGGAAACAACAGATGCTGGTGAAGATGTCAAAAAATAGGAACGTTTTTACACTGTTGCTGGGAGTGTAAATTAGTTCAACCATTGTGGAAGACGGTGTGGTGATTCCTCAAGGATCTAGGACCAGAAATACGATTTGACCCTGCAATCCCATTTCTGAGTATATACCCAAAGGATTAGAAACCATTCTACTATAAAGACACATGCACACATATGTTTATTGCAGCTATTTCCAATAGTAAAGACTTGAATCCAACACAAATGCCCATCAATGATAGACTAGCTAAAGACAGTATGGCACATATACACCACAGGACTATACAGCCATTAGAAAGGAGTTTATGTCCTTTGCAGGGACATGGATGAAGCTGGAAACCATCATTCTCAGGAGACTAACACAAGAACAGTAAATCAAACACTGCATATTCTCATTCATAAGTGGAAGTTGAACAATGAGAGTACATGGACACAGGGAGGGAAACATTACCCCTGAGGCCTATTGAGGGGTGGGGGGCTAGGGGAGGGATAGCATTAGGAGAAATATCTAATGTAGATGATGGGTTGATGGGTCCAACAAACCACCATGGCACATGTATACCTATGTAACAAACCTGCACGTTCTGCACATGTACCCCAGAACTTAAAGTATAATTTTAATAAATTAAAATAAGTACCTAATACAATAAAAAAGAATTCGTTCATCTTCAAAGTGCAATTTATTTACATTAATACAGATTTATTTAATACCGTTCATGCAAATCTTAATTGCACAGCTGGTAAATTTTTTACATATGTAAAAATCATATGTATCTGCGTAACTACAACAAAAAGATCATCTAGTTCCCTTTATGTCTTCCTTTTGTCTCTTCCAAGTCGATGCCTTCACAAAGGAAATCATTATCCTAACATATTGGTGGGGAGGGAGAGCTGACTCTTCTGGCTGATTTGTTAAGAATTCCTTGTGCATGTTGGATATCAATATTTTGCCCAATATCTTCCAATGTATGGCTTGCATCTCTTTTACAACGGAGATGTTTTATGAGCAGAAAGTTTTAGTTCTATGAAGATAAATTCATCAATCTTTTATTTCGTGGTTTTTCTTTTGGTTTTCTTTAAGAAATCTTGGCCTAATCCAAGTCATAAAGATAGTCTACTATGCTAACATTATAATTCTTTTCAAATTAGTTTTTGCATATGTGTTGTTGGATCGTTACATACTGACCCAGCATTATTTATTGAAAAGGCCTCAGTGGCAGATTAGGTATTATTATTAATTATGTATCTATGTGGGACAATTAATAGACTGACCATTTTTACCCTTTGTCTATATTTCTATTACTGAACAGATATCACAGTATATTAACTTTTGTAGCCTTATAAAATGTTTTGATATTAGGTAGAATAATCATCCTATCTTATTTTTTGTCTTTCTTTTTGTTTTCAAGTTTTCTGTTTTTGATTGTTTGCATTCTTGTAGAAATTTTAGATTCTGCTTGTAATTTCACAAACAAAAGTGCTGTACTTTTAAAATTGAAATTCAGTAAGTATTTAGTTCAATTTAGGGAAAATATATAACTTAAAGATTACTTTTTTCTTCATTATTACAATTTTTGCATTGGATTTTTTTGTTGCCATTATTTGTGTTTGAGTTTTGGGACATTTTTAAAAAGTACACAAAATTCCTGTATACCCTTCACTCAACTTGTCCC